TCTGCTGTTTTATGGTTATTATTATTATTATTATCATTATTATCATCATCATTATCATTTTTATTATCCTAATAATAATTGGCTTGTTTTTGGGTGCTCCAATGCAACCCCATCTCCAAAATGATCTAAATTGTATGGATGGGGACGTAAAACGTTTATGATCAGTCTGCCGCGACAAGTCATCGATTGGTTTTTGTTGTTGTCTTCCTTCCCGCGGGCTCTGCGCCTCTAGGGCCAGAGTATTCAGCCCCCGGGAGACGGTCGTCGGAGAGGACAATCTAAGGTTGGCTTTTCCACCCCATCCGGTGGCTCTCTTTCCTCCCCCCCCCCCCCTTCAAGATCTCAAATCCCCACCCCTTGTCCCCCCCTGATGTTTTTGTTTATTTTGTTTCTTTGTTTTCATCCTAGTCATTTTGGTTCCTTGTTTTTGTATATATTTTTTTTCTTGCCGCTCCACAGTTAAGTAGATAGTGTAAAACAGAGAAAGTACACATACATACATATCCTGTCTACTGCCTGCCCACTGTGTGACTACCCCTCAGAGACAGTGGAATATCATCTGTTCTTCTCTAGAAAACTAACCAATCTGAGGGGATGTTTTCTTCCCAAGCTACCCCACACATCTAATTGCCTCTACTCCTCAAGGCAACAATTAGAACAGACTTGCAGCTATTACAGAATGGCATCATGCAGAATAGTTAACGCTCAGATGCTATAGGATCGCTAACAACAGCAACAACAACATACATATCGTCGGCCTTGTGATAAAACCGGCTAACCCCAGCGAGGTAAATTTTACAGGAGAAGGAAAAAACTTGTTTTATTTCAAAACAAAGGCGTCTAACGATAAATCAATGCTTAATACACCTATAAAAACACTTTACCGAAAATCTGTAGACCTTTTTTTCTTTTAAAAATTGCTTTTAATGAAACTGTGTGGGTTAGACGGTTATGTTGCTCAAATTTTCCTGGATAAAACCGACCAACCCTCAATTTTGTGGGTTGGCCGGTTTTATCAGGAAGCCACTGCTGGCCTTGAGTTTGGTTGAGTGCAGCCAAGCCACACTTGACGGTAACGTAATTGATCACTTGCTTCAATCGTCAAGATCATTTGTAGAAGAAGAAAAAGAAGAAGAAGAAGAAGAAAGAAGAAGAGGAAGGAGGAGGAGGAAGAGGGTGAGAAGGAGGAGGATAAGGAGAAAAAAGAAGGAGGAGGAGGAGTAAGAAGAAGAAGAAGGAAGAGGAGGAGGACTATATTATTGCTACCAACATACTATCAGCTGCTGCCATTTCAGTGCTACGGAGTCAATTCGGGCAAAAACAGCAGTCACAAAGTTGAACCTTTAATAGAAGTAGAAGAAGCAGAACACAGCAATGGGTATATTAATTACATTTAAAGTAGAAGAACAGGAAGTTGGAAGGGTAAGGGAGAGCAGCTACAGCAACAACTACAAAAAACAACAACTATAACAACAACGAAAACAACAGTAGTAGCAGCAGCAGCAGTAGGCCTTTAGAATTTATGACCGTGTCCGACACGGTACTATTGGCACTGGGTGGCCATGCAAAGGCCTGGAAAAAAGTAATACTAAGAAAGAAATGAAAGCAGAAAGCCACACAAAAGCTCTGCTCCCTCAGCAATGGTTTGGGTGAAGTTGGTTACATAATAATATATTATTATTATACAAAAGGACTTTGTGAGTACCAAAGAATGCGCCAACTTTCTTCAAGGTGCGTGGCTTGACAACTACTACTTTATTGAGTTTTTTCTCGACGACAGAAGAGCATGTCTGTCTCACTCTGTGTCCTATGGCTACAACAAGGCAATACAACAAAAGTTACCATTGTTTTGAAAGACTCTACAATAATCGAATTTGGCTTGATCGCTTTCAAAACTTCTTACTGAGGCAAAGTTTCATGATAATTGTGTTAGCATCGTGGTACGACGGCCTTCAACTCCAGTAGATGTTTATACTGGTTGGCAGTTATCTTCAATCTGTCTTTGCAGAAAGGTCCAGCAGTAACCGTCGTACACATGGTGTTCAGCTTTCTTGGCCCTTGCAGCGCCTGCCATCCATCATCAAAGTTCAGCTTATACTGAATTTTAAAGACTGGAGTGTACTTTGATGCCTGCAAGTCAGTGATAGAAGGATCGCCTGCTTTTCTCCCTGGACGGATTGTTTAGTGCTCTCGACCTTTGCAAAATCTTTGAAAAAGCTGTGGTCCAGGTACATAACTTCATAGGGCCTAGGGATGCGTCTGGCTTTGAGCATGATGTTCACATAGTCCGCTGGGATGTACATCAGGCCTTTTTTTAGCGATCACTCAATAGTGCCATTGACTGAATCCACTTCCATTTGGGTATGGCCCTTGGGGAGAATTTCTGCTCAACTGTGATGTCAAGCTCTTTGGCCAGCGAGGCCATTGCACTCACCAGGGTGGCATTTCTGATTTAGTAGTTGCGCCAATCACTGCAGATGATGAAGTGGTTGAAGTCAGTCACTTGCAATCTCAGGTAGTGAGTCAGACAAGATGAAAACTGTTGAAGCCAAGACCAACTTCACTTTCATATCAGACATATCATCTGGCGTCTCTGTTGGCAAGATCCTAAATCGTAAGATTGTGTACCGCCAGTTTTGTTTATATAAGGTGGAAGTCTTTAGGGATGGGGCCAGAAGGACGCACTGGATCTCCATACAAAAGACACACACAGCCTTCCTGTCCGTCTCCTTCTCTGGTCTAGCTGCAGCTTCCCTCATATTCATATTTGAGCTGTGTGTTCTGTTTCTGTGAGGTTTCCAGATTTGAACTTTGTACAAATGTGGCACTGGTCTTTCTTGGCTGAAAGTAAACCCACATTGTTTTTCTTGAACTTTTGGCAGAACACTTGATAGCTCAATGTGGCTTTCACCCTCTCTGCAAAGTTCTCCATGTATACTTGATGCAGATCTGACGTTTTCTGGATTGTCATCTGTAGACAGCAGGATATCTTCGAAAGTTTGTCAAAATATTCCTCTTTATGGAACAACTTGTCATCCTTGGCTCTCTCATGGTGGGCGTGATGTCTTCTAGGGGGGGGGGGGGCTCTTGTTTGTTTGTTTTTTCGGAGAAGACACTTTAAATAAACCAGTGGGTCAGGCCTGTGGTGTTCTTGAAGATTGTTTTACAAACAGGTGTTCTTTGACCATTGACTCTTGTAAGTGGTATTGAAGGGTGTAATTTCTCCTTGGGTTTTCCCTTGCTGTGTAAGATCTCTTTTTGTCTATCATGTTTATCGTGGCATATACGTAGGCTCTCTTTTCTTTCCAAGAGAGTGACCAGTGATGTCATTGCATTTTGTACCAACCAGTTTACAACTGCAAAGGACGTCAAGTTCACATCCTGCTCGCTTCGTGCCTTGACATGTGTAGAGACATCCCCAGTTCTTTCAACCTCTTCCTTTTGTTACCCTTCCAATCGTTTTCATGCCGAGTCCTTTTCGCAGAGATCAAAGGTGACATAACTGTTGTAATATCAGCTGATGGGACATTAGCCTGGTCACGTTGATCACTTTCCATTGCGCTGAGGGTAAGAGGTGACGCAGCAAGAGTGGCATCATCTTATTAAATGTTATAGCGTTATGTAAGTTAAGGTTTGATATAAAGATAAAGCATTAGGCTATGACACTGAGAAAATAATCTACTCAAAACACAAACCAAATGAACTTTCAAAGAAAGTCGAAAGATGTTTCAGAAGGTAAGGACTGCAATAAACACAGCAAATGAAAAAAATAAAATAAAAAGCGCTTTAAAAAACAACGATCGTTGGGGGCAGACGGTGTGCTGGACAGGTCCCACAATTATTATATTTTTGAGTGAGTTAGTAAAGGAGGAAATGCTATCTACTTCGTCCATTCAATTGTGAAGGAAAAATGATTAGGAGAAGAGACAGTTATAAGTAGTCCGAATAGGGGAAAATGCCTTCACAATCGGTGAATTTCGAGCACAAAGACAAAGAAAAACACGCGGACAGAAAACATAGTTTCATATAAAACAAAATCCATAAAGATGCATTTCAAATACCGGACTTGTCACGAGATGAACAGCTCTGTGGGTACAGTGGGGAGTTTTAGTCAGTAATAACATTATCAGCAGCATTTAAACGAAGAAAAAAGAGGAAACAACCAGATCTATATAACTCCCCAATGAAACCAACAAAAAATATTACACAAATATTCCTTTTAGAGAGCTCCCACGGTTATGTGAGCAAATTCTGGACTTTTACAGGTCTGAATCTGATGTCAAACTAAGTCCGGAGAGAATTTGAAGCCGGGGTTAGTCGGTAACGTAGCAAGTGGCCCCTCATTGTTAGCGCGATAAAAACAGCCAACCCTCATTCCGTCCCTCGCAGGTGAGATAGTCGGAATTATCGGGCTAAAATCCGATGGGTGCCGGGTTATACGGTTTTATTTCTAATGTTTTAAAGACATTTCTAGAAAAAATTCAGATCTGTCTTTGAGTGAGCATATGAAATGGACAATTTACTATCGATAGAGCCAATAAAAAGTTTTTTGATATTTTGTGGGTTAGACGGTTTTATCACCAGGCCGACGATATCCTTATCATACATACATACATACATACATACATATATATATACATAAGGTCCTCGCTGTTGTATGCAGAAAACCCGAGTGTGGTTCTCGTGTGGGTGGTTGGCGGGTGCTCTGGTGTGGTTTGCTCCTTCTTTCCTATCAAACATCAGTCGTCAATCGTCCTTATCTCTCCTCCTTCTTTTTTATGTTCTATGTTACTCTCTTATAACACATCTATTCTTCGGCTTTAATATGACCTAATTGTGTTGCAAGTGCCGTAAAACTCTTTCTAAAACAAAATTGGTTCTTGTGTTTGGAGAATTTCTATGGAGTATCTCCATCTTTCTGCTGGGATGCTGTATCCCTGTCACCTGGGGTTGTTCCTGACAGGCAGGGGGCGAAGCCACCTCCTAAATTACCTAAACTGTGTCGATGGCCATGTAAAAAACGTTTTCATTTTTATTACTTACTTACTTTACTTTTTCATCCTCTGTTGCCGTTAAGCGTCAAGGGGAGATGCAGTTTTCTATGGTAGGCCAGCTCCGCAGCTCTTTCAGTTGTGATGTTATGTTTTCTTAGGGTTTCCTTGACACCCTCGATCCACCTTTTGCGTGGCCTTCCTCTTCCTTTATAGCCTGAGTGCTTGGTGTTGTAGGCTCTCCGAGGCTGGCTGGTCAGGTGACATGCGTAACAGGTGGCCAAACCATTTTATCCTCTGTCTTTCTATGTAACGCAGGCATTACTCAGTGCCGATAGCTGCTCTTACTTCTTCATTTCTCTGCCTGTCTCGTCTTGTGATGGTAAGGGTTTTGCGGAGACATTTCATTTTGCATGCGGTGATTTTGCTTTCATGGGGTTTGCTTAAGGTCCAGGTCTGGCACTGATAACATAATGTTGGTATGAATATTGAGGTGATAAGCTGTCTCTTTGTGTCCATGGAGATGTTTGGATGAGATAAGAAGAGTGCGAGCTGGTAGGTGACAGCGTTGGCTTTTTGAGTTGGCATTTCTATTTCTCTGTCTATGGACCCGTTTTCAGAAAAAGTGCTGCCAAGATATTTAAACTCCTTCACCTGTTTCAGTTGTTTACTATTGACATGGATGTTCAGGGGACTATGGTTTCGGCTCTCTTTCATAACTTCTGTTTTTGATGTGCTTATTTTCATGTTGAATTTCTCACAGGTGTTGTTGAGTTTGGTAGTGTGATTTTGGAGGCTTTGTTGGTCATGATGAATTAGACATTGGTCGTCTGGGAACAGAAATTCATTTAGGCTTTCTAGGCTTTGGTTTGCTTCTTGCGTTATTGTGTCCATATATATTATAAACAGGAGGGGAGATAGAACACATCCCTGTCGTACTCCAGATCTTACTTTGAACCAGTCTGTATTTCCTTCCTTCATTCTTACTGAGCTTCTGCTATTGGTATATAGAGCTCTGACATTATCTAACAATTGACCCATTTTTATTAAAGAATTGAAAATATCATTTAGGAGTATTTGATTGAAAGATGCTGTTTTCTTTTCCTTTTTTTTTTTTCCTTTTTATGAGATGAAGCTTAGATATGGTACAGATTTTGATTCCTTGAAAAGCTCTTAATGTTGATCTGTTCCTAAAATTGTATGTCAGTCAGCCTAGCTAGCCTCTTTTTTATTGTAAGAAGCAAAAGAGTGATGTTAAAAATATATTCCATCTATCCGTTTTGTTTGGACTTTTGCTCTCTCTCACAACCTTTCCCTTTGAACTGACAACCCCTCCCCCCCCCCCCCCCATCCCGATCTTTCCTTTATCTTTCCCTTGCCTCGTTCTTCCCAGCCTATCTCCTTATGTAGCCTACAAATACAGGTTTTGTACCTCACAGCACAACTTCATTTATTTCTGTTCACCGCAGTTCTTCTCAGTGGGTGGTTGGTGGGTGCTCTGGTGTGGTTTGCTCCTTCTTTCCTATCAAACTTCTATCGTCCTTATCTCCCCTTTTTCTTTTTTGTGTTTGTTACTCTCTTGTAACACCTCTATTCTTCTGGCGCTCATATGACCTTATGCAGTTGCTAGTGCCGTAAAACCTGTACTAAAACTAAGTTCTTCTCAACTACTTCATTCCGCTAAGAAGCATACAGAGCATGGGTGTCATTCATGGGGTGAAGAAAATCATGGTAAGGAAAAAAAAATGTTCTGATTGGAATGTAAATTTGTTCATCTAGTATATGGACGGATCAGTTTTCATGAACTAATTAACTAAATCCTGCTACATCCCCCCCCCCCCCCCCACTAGACGAGATGACAAACTACAGTGCAACCTCTCTATAATGAAATCGTCG